CCTTCAAAAAGTTGACGACTCTACATGTTTCGAGTTGTAACGAGGATGACGTTGTAACGTCGAAAAATGTAGAGTCGTCAACTTTTTGAAGGCCATAGATAGGCCTAAATAAAATGTATTTAATTGTGTACCAGTTTAACATTCAATATTATTTATGATTTTAAGGTTAATATTGCATTTAGCTCACAACGAAGAACCTACACTGCCATCTATGTGACAAGAATGACATGACGACGGTGGACGAAACTATACTCTTAATACATAAACAAACGCGTTCTTAAATTAAAAACCCATATCATGATAAGGCATATTTAAAGATATTGGAAGTCGAATAAGTACACATCGTCAAAGTCAAGGTAATCTTGAGACAGACCATCTTTTAGCTACTCAAGATGCTAAAGACACGTTCATAGACGAATACTCAGACTTTCTTGTTATATTAGCAGGATATACATATATATATTGTAGTTAAGCGCAAAGTTACACAATGGACTATCTGTGTTGTGCCCACCCCGAGTATCAAAACCCGATTTTTGGCGGGCTGAGCTACTGGGAGCAGCAGGATGCTAAATTATAAATAGACGTTTGTAGGCGAAACTAAAATAGATCTAGTAGAAAATTACTGTGGCATTTTTTCAAGCCTTTTTCAAGTTTAATAAAATCATGGTGTTATTTTCAAGAACATTTATAAATAAATGAGGTATAGATTAATCTGATTACAAAACAAATTAGGCTTACCTCTAGAACAGTGCTTTTCAATTGGGTGAATGAGTATTATCAACTATACAACAAATTCAAGAGTAAAAAAATTAATGGGTTATAATTATTTATTCAAGTTGTAGTTTGATAAATACATTTATTTTACGTTTTATTTATTCCAGTTGTAGTTTGATAAATACATTTATTTTGTTTTATTCATTCCAGTTGTAGTTTGATAAATACATTTATTTGTTTTATTCATTCCAGTTGCAGTTTGATAAATACATACATTTTATATTTTATGTTACGTTGTGACCATCTTTTATATACCAGACTACCCCCCAATCTAGTAGTCTCCGGATAATTCACGAAGGTTCGAGAAGGACGTGGCGTGATACTAGTCACGTGACCTCGCTGACGCAACATTATTAAATGTTAAATATATCATCTTCTAGTCCAATGCTTCCCAATCTTTTCCAAAATCTTTCACCCCTATACATTTTTCACAACAGCTCACTCACCCCAGTTCGAAAAAACATAAAAAAGTACTAAATTAAAACGTAAGATTCTTTATTATGACTTAAATATACATCATAGTACACTTGGAATGAAGAGGTAATGAGTAATTGAACTGCAGTCAGAGAGTGTGTAATTGAACAGAGTATTGTTGAAGTCGAGCTCGTGAGACATGAGTTATAGCATTTGTTTTAGCGCGACTGTTGAAATTAAGTGTATCGCAAAGTTATATTCAGAAAGAATAAACCAGTTTTATTTAAGAAAGGACTTGTGTCGCTAAAGTTTCATCGGAACGAATTTATGGAAAATTAACTAATGAACGGAGACGTAACAATATTTTAAACAGAAGTTTATGATTTCTCAAGGTATTGTTTAGCCAATGCTTCTGTATGGGTGAAGAAAGGAATCTAATTGAAATTTTTAACTTAAGAACAATCCACAGAGCTATAAATTTTTTAAAAAACTTAGTCTATTCATTGTAGTCATTGTTTTCATTCAGGAAAATATTTACCCTCGCACCAAGAGGGGGAGAGGGAGTATTGCAATGAGATCCTTGTGTCTGTCTGTCTGTGTCTGTATTTCTGTGCGTGTATCTTGAAAACTAATACACCAATGTACACAAAAATTATATACAAGATGGGAAGTCAGAATGGGACAGTCCTGGCCAAATTTTATATGAATCCAGATTTGGTTTCTGAATCACTTTGAAGCATTTTTTATAATGGAGAGATAGGGCATTTTCACAATTTTGGGTTACTAAATCTGTAAAATTTGATCAGACTTGTACCAAATTTTATGGACACACTACAAAAAATGATCAGGATCTGAGAAGGATTTTCTGAGTTTTTATCCAATATAGATGCATGCAATCTCAAAAAGGAGTGGTGGGGTGAGGGTATGCAATTTTTCTGATTGTTTCATTTTGAATTAAGCCTTTTTTAAAGCTACAAGACATTAGGTAAGCTTAATTAGATATGAAAATGTGTCTTAGGTATGTCTTAATTAAGTATGATAACCAATAGAAAAATATGTGTATGACTCAAACTGTACTGCCTCCTGCCCTCGGGAATTATGAGGCCTTGTATCTCTTCTCAGAAAACATCAGACTGAACAGGATATGTAAATGTGTAAATATTTTCTTTGTATAAATTGTTTGATAGGACATACTTTGCTCTTAAAGTCTGTTTTTTTCTCTTTTAACAGGTTAGATTCTCCAGAGAGGCTGTTAGTGTGCATTTGTTTTTGAATTTTAGTGATTCTGTTTTTAACTTCCACCAGTTTCTGATGTTATATATGCAATATTACAAATAAGTGAATGCTTATAAGTACATTAATGTTTTGTATACTGGTATACTGTGTAGATATTAATAGCAAATGAAAGGTGTTTAGTTAGTATTTTTCTTTAAAGTAAGTTTCATTTAATCTTATTGGTTAATAATGTTTGAGTAATGTTTTGAAGTAACATTATTCTTATCAAACTATTTTGCATTTCACTGCATTCCAATCAATATAGGTTTTAGTTTTCTTTTATATTGATGACATTGAGGTATTTCTAGTGAGTTATTTATACAGTATTGTTTTAATAACTTTTAAAGTTTTATTTATTTTATTTCTGATCTTTATAGTTAGCTTACTATTGAGAACTTTGATAAAAAGTTTTTAATAATATAATATAGCTATAAATCTTTTATGTCTCCCCAAATGCATCTTGTGCTACTCTATCAATTTCTTGATTTTTAAAGTAGATTTAACAGTAGTAAAGTGTTAATTTCTCTGTTGTGAACTAAACCTTGCACAGTTATATAGTTTGTTTGGAGGCCAAATTTTCAATTAATTTTATTTTAAATATTAATGTTTTATACATTTCTTGCAGAATATTAATGACTTATCTGTGTAAGGCTAGAACTTCTAGTGCTAGTTTTGTGAGATATATAGGAAAATAAATTGAAATGGAGTATAATGGCTAGACATAAAGCACTTTCCAGGAACTTCCCAACCCCCCAAAAAAACAACAACAAAAAACAACAAAACAAAACAAAAACTAATACTTGCCCTGACCTGGTGATAGAATAAGCTAGTGTTTAAAGGGAAAAAAAACAGATAACTAGAAAATTGAACTGTCAGGTTGTATTTGAACCTGTTGAAAAAGCAGGAAGAAATGGGACCAACATTTTAATTGAAAAAGAAAAAAAACAATGTACTTCTAAAGTCATTCTAGAAGATTAAACACACTTTACTACTGCTGTAGGCTATAAAGATAGAATATTGGTTAGTTGGCTATTATTGAGGGTTGCATTGGAAGTTCAGGTACTTTCTGGAGGGTTGCATTGGTCTAGTAAATTTCAGGCACTAGTCTGAGTGTTGTGTCATTTAAATATATAAGGCACTAATCTAAGCTGGGGTTCTGTTTACTAAGTCATTTTAACTTTACTTGAGATATTTATTGTTTCAAACTTAAGACATTTCATGTAAATTGTAACTACACTAGTTTCAAACATTATAGTTAAGAGAGTGTGCTGTATCCATACATTTGTTCTGTTAATAAAATGTTTTCTGAGTAAACAATATGTTAATTACAGGTTACCCGACAGGCCATCCAGATGCTATGTCTTATGACGATGACTTACGACATTTAAAAGAAAAGGTTGATGCTGGAGCAGACTTCATCATCACTCAGATGTTTTTTAATGCCCAAACTTTCATCAGTTTTGTCTGTGACTGTAGACGAATTGGAATTGACGTACCAATCATTCCTGGAATTCTTCCCATTCAGGTACATGCTCACAAAATTAATATTCATATATAATTTCTAAACCTAAAGAGTAGGATTGAAACTGTAAGTATTTCACTTCTTCAAGAGAGTAAAGGAAGATCATTTATTTATATGAGACTGATATCCATAGTAATAAATTGTTTGTTTTCTTTAAGTAAAGCTAAAGGATCACGATATTGCTTTTTTTGTCATAAATCTCGGACAATTCAGTGTTAACCCTTTCATTGCTCTGCACGTCATATGATGTTTTAGTTTTTCCCAGCCACTGTTTGAAATTCCAGCTGATACTTGGTCGTACTAGTAATCCATATATGTCACCCCTGACACATATACATAGCAGGAAAATGTGTCTATAGTGTAAATATTAGACATTTATACAGTAGTTTTAGTGATTTATATGGGTGTACTAACTGTAAGATTCATACAGTATAGTTGTTTTATTCAAGACCAATGCATGAGGTGAGGTGTTTCCATCCCACCTGAGCAGTGTAAAAGTTAACAGTCGTAGGTAAAATCTCATGAATTACAGCACTTGTGTTTTTATGATAAGGCACTTTGTTAGTAAGCAGAAAATAGGCTTAATTCATTTACAAGAAAAAATGTCATGTTGAGATAAACATAGTGTACAAGTTTAGTTATGTATTTTTGAAATAATGGAAATATTTTTTAAAAGACTTGATGTTCCAAACTTAATTCCAACAAGGGGGGAGCACAAAGCTTGTGACATGCATAAAGAAATGTTCACATATAGAGGGCAACACTGAACAAGAATAGCTAATCTTTTGAGTGGAGGCAAAAACCTATTTAAATACATTTTCAGTATAGGAAAATTATAACTTTTAGTTCATACAACATTTGCAGTTCCCTTGTTGGACTCTCATTGCATAGAGCATCTGGTATGGCTTCACCTTGACAGGATCCTTGGTTGTAGTCTTGATCTTGTATTGCACAAGTTCTGCCTTGTTTGTTCTGTCTGTGAAGACATCTGTGTACTGGCACAGTAGCTGTTGTAGGACTTTCTTTTGCTTGCCAGTCAGTTCTTCAGTCATGTTGATGTCCACCCAGCAGTCTTAGGTCTAGTAGGTCATCATCCTCTTTTGGTTCTATGTCTATATCTACCATGTCCATCCGTGCCTCAGTAGCTGCACCCATTAGGTCTTCTTCACTCTCGAAGTACCTCTTCAACAGATTGGCATGGTAGATCTTGGTAGTCTTCTCATACACTTTCACTTTATAGTCCATTCTGTTGATATCTTTCTGCATTTCAAAAGGTCCTTTCCACTGCAGGGTGAGTTTGTTGTTATCTGTAGCAGAACCAAGGCCTTGAAACATCAGTCCTTCCCTTTATTGCCATAAAATTGCTTCAGACTGTCTTTGACGTGTTTAGCTTCGCCATTAGAACTTCTTTGATAGATCCAGTACAGTACTCCTTTCCGGTCCTCTGTTTTCTAAGTTTCTTTCCCCTTTGTTTTATGCTCGACTTTCTCTTGGGCACTGTTTCCGCACTTTCATCAGTTCCTGTAGTCCTACATTCAGAATTGTCACCTTTTGAGACTTGCAGGGGCTTTTCTTGAGCTCTTGTGGTGACTGCAGATGCCCATCAGTCCCCTTTCTGTCTCATTCCTCCAAATTTCTACTGCCTGATATACTGCCAATCACCAAAATGCGGACGGGTGCCTTCATACACATGGTCTCAAAGTTTCCCATGGAGTATGGAGTGTCCACCTTTATTCTTGCTTTGGGAAATTTTCTCACTGTTCTACATAGATGTACCTTGCCTCTCGTCTGGTCATTCGATACTAAACTGGTTCTCACTGCTGTATTGCTGCACCCAGTGCCTCGTAGAACCTTCACTTTCTTGTCCTTGACATAGATTTAACTTACTGGAATTTCATGATTTGTTAACATCTCTTGATGTTTATCACAAGCTCCAATCACTACTGGCATTGTTGATCCATTTGCAAATTTGAGCTGACTGTCAGTCATGCACTGTTTATCATAGAGATAGCATTTTCTTCTTATGGTGAATCTGACGTGTTGTCTCTGTTCTGTTTCTTCTGGCAGTGGCACCTATGGTAACAGTAACTCTTTTCTTGTTTCTTGCTAGCACCATCTTTGGGGTAGGTTCAGCTGCTTTATGTTGAGATTTCTGCTGTTGCTTGTTGGTGACAGACTTGCACTTTCTCACAGTGTGCCAATTTTATAAAAAGCATAGCATCTCTTTGCTTTCTATCTGTTGACTTCCTGTCACCTTTGGTGGCATCCTGCTTCTGGTCTGCCACCCCTGATTTATACTTTAACTGGTTATTCCAGGAATTGCCAATTATACTCCTTTCATGAGCTTCGATATACTGTTCTGCCAGCTTGATCCTCTTGTCCACTCTCTCCTTTAGGAACAGTGACATGTCAGTCAGTTAAGCATATGTTCATGAACTGTTCATGTGTTAGTAGATCTGCCAGTTCCTCAAAACTATTTTCACACTTGGCCATGTCAGTCCATCTTTTGAAGTATCTCTGTAGCTGTACTACAAACTGAAATACAGTTTCTCCAGTATCAGGTTTGACTTCTGTGAATTTCCAGAGAAAACCTTCCTTAGTAAGTCAATAGCATTTTAGCAATGCCACTTTTAACTTGTCATAGCCCATGGCATCTTCTGACGTCATGTTTGCATTTAACTGTAGGCCTTTTTCTGTGAGAAGGGGGCTGAGACAGACTACCCAGTTACCTTTATCCCAGTTCTGACTTAGGCCAAATCTTTCATACCTCTCCAGGAAAGCATCCATGTCATCTTTCTTTCATCAAATTTGAGCAGCTTAGGTTGGCTGGCCTTGACCCCATTGTCATTCTTGAGTCCTTCATCTTTCTGTTGGGTGAGCTTGGCAATCTCAGTTTGTGCTCTTTTTTCTCTATTTTCATTCTCTTCTTTCTCTCATTTTCATCTTTCTCAATTTGTGTTCTTATTCTCTTTATCTCCAGTCTATCCTTTCCCTCCTTTTCTTTTTCTTCTTTCTCAGTTTGTATTCTTATTCTCTCTATTTCCAGTCTCTCATTTTCTTCTTTCTCTTTTTGTGTTCTTTATTCTCTCTTCCTCTCGTTCTCTGTTGATGCTCTCTCTCTAGTTTTTTTTTTTCTAAACTTTCATAGATCACTATCTTTTAGCCCTAGTCACTCACCTCTCTCTATCCATTTATTAAAATCAGTCAACATGGTTATATAGCATGATTGTAATTTCTACACTATATTTGCCTCCACTAAAGTTGTGTGTATATGGGCCTATATCCACTGTTGTTCACGTTTTCTTCTGTCACTGTATAATCCTAGTTGGCTCACAAATGTCGGGTTTTTATAGGGGCAGGTTTTTTTTGCAGTAGGTATCTATGACTTGTAGGTGATAAAGTTCAACAATAAATGGACAGCACACAATCCACTTGTTTTAAAATAATATATTCAAAACAAGTCAAATGTACATACAAAAATTTGTTACACTATTGGTTACCACAGATGTATCCAGAGCTTTAAATAATTCTCTCTTTTTCTTCAAAGTCCACACAGGCTTGTTCAATTACTTTAGAACTCAATCGAGAAGACAAATTATACTTCTTTATCTCTGTTGTTACAATACAAGCTGTAAAACTCACTTTAGAAATTGCCCTTTCCAGCTAACTCGCACACAGTCTAATTTCACTTTCACTAACTACTTTTTTAACTTGTACTAACTTGGTTGCCTCAAGTGAGGCTTATAACTTTCTACAAACTATGAGACATTATTATGTAACAATACTCACTTAAAGCAAAAATTCAGAAGGTTCAAGTAACTTGAGGAAATCTTATTTTTCAGAATCTGACCAAGTTTTTAAAAGAAAGAGATTGGATACAGTGTAATGTGAAAACAGGCTTTGCCCATGACACAAAACAGTCAAATTGACGATTGTGAATAAAGGACAACTCCTTTATTGAAAGAATAATCTGTATACCATGCTACTTAACAATATGAATTGACTGTTATTCATCAATTATGTTACTTAACACTGTTTGTCAGCCTATTTTTTTACTCCATTGAGTTTTCTTTATTCCAAATACTCCTTTAACAAAAGTATTAGCATTATTGTCATGGCTGCTATTGTTGTGTGAAAACTGAAAATTTCTTGCTGAAAGATATTAAGCTTTGGGTACTAAACTGTTTTACACATTGTTGTTATTATTATTAGCTGTCAAGTGAATAATAATCTTTCTCTTCAGAGCTTTGACTCTCTGCGACACATTGTGAAGCTGTCCAAGTTAAAAGTGCCTGAAGAAATCATCACTGCAATAAAACCTATTCGAGGGAATGACGAAGCAATTAGACGGTTTGGTGTCAATTATGCAGTCCAACTCTGTCAAGAAATTTTATCCTCTGGTATGGCACCAGGACTTCACATCTATACTCTTAACCGGGAAGTTGCTACTACTGAAATTCTTAAAACACTAGGATTGTGGGGACAATCTCCTCAAAAGCCTCTTCCATGGCCAACAGCTGCCAATCATAGGTTAGTAATTTTCTGTGAAGTCCACATTTCACTTAATAAATTGTTCTTCTTACCTTAAATAAATAAATAAATATATATTTATATATACACACACATTAAAAAAATCATCGATCTTGTTGCTTTCACTGTGGACACAGGAGATGCGCTGAGGAGGTGCGACCAATCTTTTGGAGTTACCGTCACAAAAGCTATATCTACCGCACTCAAACGTGGGATGATTTCCCAAATGGCAGATGGGGGTTGTCTTCTTCCCCAGCATTTGGTGAACTGAAAGATTATTATCTTTTCTTCATGAAAAGTAAAAGCTCCAAAGAAGAACTATTGAAAATGTGGGGAAAAGAAGTGACATGTGAGCAAGATATCTGGAATGTTTTCTATTGTTATCTAACAAGTTCTGTCAACGAAGATGGCTATCTGGTAAGACCTAACCTAGTTTGGTGACTACATCAGCTAGAATTGCTATATTTTAAAGTTATTTTTATTAATTCACAGATAATGGCAAAAGAATGCTACTTCAGTGTTATTTTATCTTCTAGGTCACACGTATTCCATGGAATGATGATGAACTGTGTCCTGAGACAGCCCTGATTGCTGATAAATTGGCAACTTTTAATAAAAATGGAGTTTTAACAATAAACTCCCAACCAAATATCAATGGAGTGCCATCTTCAGACCCTACTGTTGGGTGGGGGTTTCCAGGAGGATATGTATACCAAAAGGTTTTTATTACTTTCAGAATGTTCTCAGATTGGGTTTTGAAGAAAATAGTTATTTATTTATTTACACATATATATATTTCATCTGAGTATGTTCATCTCTGTTCATAACTGCAAATCTCCTTCATATACAAAAGCATTTTTTTAAATTCATATATATATATTTAGCTATAAAAATTGTTAATTTAAAGTTCAGGTGTACCTAAAAAACATGTATAACATTGATTAAAGTTGAAGTTCATCACTTTTTACTCCGAACTGTAATGAGTGTTGAGTAAGGTCCAACGTATTCGTACAAAGTAATATTTAGTGTTTGAAATTTATATCTGTTGTACTAAAGTTTATTAGTTGCAAACTATTTGCCATTATAATGGATTAGTTCTAGTAATATTATTAAATGATTCAAATTATGGGTTTTTTATCCACTTTTTTCATAAGTGGAAGCTACTTGTTGTATTGAATGAATCAAGAATTGACCATTTGATTTATTTTTATATTTCTTACTGATTCCTTGACAGTAAAAAGTGAACTTATTCATAATTGCTAATTACTAAATAAAATAGCCTGAAATTTAACTTTTTTGGCATAATCCTCTCCTCAGTTAGTTAAGTAAGTTATTTAGTCATTAATGTGTCAAAGTTTCTTAAAACCATGTGGGTTGTGAAAGAATTAATTTTGTCACCAATTAATCAAAACAAAGAGTCATCAATTCTTCATACAGCAAATTTGTGTGAAAGAAAATGTTTATTTTTGGAACAAAACTGTTTGACTAGTGTTCTTATAATTTCATCATTATCTTTTTTTTTTATCCTAGTAGATGCTGATTTATAGAAGTATATTATTTTTTAGGCTTATTTAGAGTTCTTTACCTGCAAGCAAAATGTGGATGCTCTAAAAGAAGTTTTGCCAAATTATCCACTAGTCAACTATCATATCGTCAATAATTCAGTAAGTTAATTACCTAAGTCAACTGTCATATCGTCAATAATTCAGTAAGTTAATTACCTAA